TATGCTCCAACCAAACCAGATGTCTTTCTTTTCCTTACATGTCATGACATTCCATCTCTTATCTCTGTAAGAAAAGACAGTGTCTATCCTCCATGGCTAGGATTCACTTTTTCCTCCCCTCTTCCTCTTTAGAATCCCTTTTTTATGCCAAGAGTCAGAATAACACCCACCTTCTACTCTGTACAACAACTTTCTTGATTGTCTCCCAGTCACTACTAATTGTCCCTTAAAAAATGCCTGCAACTATTTTGTAGGTACCTATGTATGTATATGTTAGTCTGTCTTGTTAGAAAGGAAACTTCTTGAAGCCATGGACTCTTTCCCTTTTATTCTTGTATCCCTGGTACCAAGCACAATGGTTGGCACTTATCTGACATTTAATAAATAAAAAATAAAGTTGGTGATTGATAGATGTTTCAATTTAGGAATAGGTCTAGCAGAAAATCTAAGTGCAAATTTGAATCACACAACTTTTTTTATGCACCACATTTTATGGTTTCTTTTGCTACTTTGAAAATCACACAGAAAACTACTTTTTTTCCAGCAGTTGAGCTGAGAATTTGAGGAAAGGGTGTGTGATGAAGGAGAAAGGTGTTGACAGTTGTCTGCCCTCCATGATTCCAGAAGAAGGACCCTTGTAATGTGGGTTTTTTAAAAAAACAATGTTTGCTGGTTTTAACAGTTTTGAGAAGAGAAGCAATGGTAATATTCCTAGGGGCTTGGAGAGTAATGTTGTGATAATAAATGCTTGGCTCTGGATGACCTGGAATTAATTTTCAATTGGAATCTCTTAACCTACACATTTTGGATTTCCTCTGAGGTGTAATAATAACTTTTATGGGTTTGTGTTTTCCTTTAAAGCATCCCTATGATGTTTTATGACAGGCCAGTTTGTGACTATAAATCCTATACATTACTACATTTTTTCCCCTGATGTAAATGAACATGATTCAAAAGGTATACTGCACTTCAGAGAATTTTAACCTTTGTATGATACTGATTTAGGAGACAAGAAGAGAATGAGATAGTTTTTTTAAAATCCTGTTCAGTATTTAATCGCTGTTGCAGCTCACCTTGCCCAGTAAGGCAGAACAGCTAATCTCCCTGAAGATCAGAATCATTGCTGTTCTATAAATCAGCTAGCAAGAGTTTCTCTAAATACCTGTCCATATCATTCCCCCATCAGAAAACTGTCTAGTCTGAACTCACTAATCCCTAGCATGGAACATTCCAACTGGACCTTGATAATATATATATATATTTGATTAGCAGAACTTGGCTATTCAGAAATTAATGTATGAGTATAAACATATATAAACATGTTCCTTCCTCAATCAGGAACATAACTCAAATTGATTCAACAAGCATTTTTTCATGCATTTACCATATGCCAAACCCTGTGCTAAGTAATGGGACTACAAGGAAAAGCAGAAATAGTCCTCAAAGAAACTCACATTCTAATGAGGGAGACAAAATAGAAGATGCAAGCGACTAAATAAAACTAAGTATTGTACTGTCCCTGTTGTGAACTCTAGAAAACAGCTCTTAAAAAGTGGGGATGAGGGGCAGCGAGGTGGCGCAGTGGATAGAGCACCAGCCCTGAAGTCAGGAGGACTTGAGTTCAAATCCAGCCTCAGACCAAATACTTGACACTTACTAGCTGTGTGACCCTGGGCAAGTCACTTAACCCCAATTGCCTTAAAAAACAAAGTGGGGATGGTGTGCAAGAGTTGAACTTCTTCGGAGAAAGATTCTTTGTGGAAATAACTGGAGTGTAAGTATCCTTCTGGTATTTTTTTTCAAGGAGTCAAGGCAGATTCCCCATATTTTCCTTTAAGGTATAAAATAGTTCTTCTAAGTAAGATGATTAATAATAATAAACTAATAATAACAAATGGCATTCATATAGCACATTAAGGTTTATAATTCACTTTCCTTATAGCCCCATAAAATAAGTAGTACATATATTATTATTTAAATTTTATGGATGAGGAAACTGAGTATTAGAGAGGTGAAATGTCTTGCCTGGCATCACACAGCTAGTAAGCATTGTCTCCAGAACTCCAGCACAGACCTTGTAACTATAGGTCCACAACTTTGACTACAAAAACACATGAAGATTTAGCCCAAGTTTTTTTTCTTTAGACAAATCTATCTCTCACTCTATTATTAATAACCCTTTGTCAGATAACATCTATCTGGAAAGACATGTTCTTACTGCTCATCAATTTGCAGAGGCATGAGCCTGGGATGAGAGATCATTTCTGGGTATCTTAAATATTTAATTAACTATTTTGAACAAACATATAACTTCAATATAGCAAAGCATACCAGTTTGAAACTAATGATATTATGAAACATTTCAGTGGATTAAGCCATTAAGACATAGTTATCCACATCCATAGGCATATTTTTTGTCTTCCAAAAGTATATTTTTGCTATTATGGAAATTAAATATTTATTGAAATACATTTTGGGAAATATCATTGAGGCTTTTTTTCTGAATGCAAAAATAACTGGGCTAATTGTGAGCTTAATATATATGATCATTAATACATTGATAAGTTGAAAAATAAATTATTGAGTTTTGTAGAATTCAAGGCATCTTATGGTTACCTGTTAATCACTTAATTTTAAAATATCTCTACTATATGCCTGGCAGCATGTTAGGAAAAAACAAAAACAGAAACAAAAACAAATAAGTCCTCAACTTCAAGGAGACATCAGGAAAGGTTGCATGCAAGAAGGTGACACCAGCACAATTTAAGGAAATAAGGAGTTCTAAGGGGTAGCAGTGAAGGGGGAGCTTCTTCCAGGCACTGGAGCACAGTCAGGGCTAAGTCTCTGAGATGGGAGGTGGAGGATCATAGATCTAATGATTTTTTTTATGTACCCTTAAAAATTCAGCGCACACAAAATTTCAACATTCTATATACATGGGTTTCATAGTGGTTTTAAGACATCAAAGAACTCAAATTGGTCTAGGATCAAAGGGAATATAGTACACAGTAAAACAGGGAATGAATGAAATTTAGTTGGAGAGCCCATTGTCAGGTGGTATGGCAAGATAATCATCACATCCTTTAATTTCCTATAGATGGGACAGGAAATATTTCTTAAATAGACAAAGATTGCAATGCAAAGGTCAATATTCATGATAGCAATGCACATATGCAAAAAGAGTAATGCCACTTTCCTAACTAAAGCAATGACCATTCTTTGCTTAAGATGTATATGTGGATTTCTGCAACAGAATTCTACCATCTGCAAAGAGGCAAAACACACACACACACACACACACACACACACACACACACAGCTTGAGCAAAGGAAAACCAATAGCTATAATATTAGAAACTCTTTGGGGTCAAATAAAAATAAAACAACAGGATTCTCTACTTCATATAATATTTTGAATATCTAGTTCCACACCTGACCAATACAAAGAGATTAAAAAGAGTGCAGAATAATTATTGGAATAGTAGAAATGATTTATGAGAAACAGTTAAAAAAATCCCAAATATCTATAGCTGGCTGAGTAATGACTGATGAAAAAGATGATAAGAGTCTATAGATATTTGAAAGGTAAAAGTATTTAGGAGGGGACAGTTATTTTGTAAGTTAGAAAAAGCAATGGTACATAAAAGTAATTAGTAAGAGTAATAGGCAGAAATTAAGAAACAGAAAATATAAGTTGAACATAGAAGTTTAACTCTGTGAGTGAGCTGTATTAGATTGTTGAATAGTATCCAAAGAAAAGTAGAGATGCTTAATTGCTCAAGAAATTTAAAATTATATTCAAAGAAGCAGTTCTAGTAGAGTGAGATGAGTTAAAGTCTATGAGTCTATGGAGCCAAAAGAATTAAGAAGAAACTATCAAACTGGAAGCTAAAACTAATGAAAGTTTCTATTCAATTTCATCCCATATGATATCTGCATTTTACATTATCCAGCAGAGGGGAAAATGTGAATATTTGGATATTCAAGATAATTCATATTGCTTTAGATATTAGTAGTTAGCATTTATATTGTGCTATAAAGTTTGCAAAATGCTTTACAAATATCTTATTTTAGCTTCCCCACAAATGTGGGAAATAGGTCTTATTATTGTCTTCATTTTCCTGATTCCTCAGATGTGATATGGACTGTAATAGTTTTATGACTTTCCAAGAGTAACAAAACTAATAAATGTTTGAGATCAGATTTGAACTCAACTCCTTCCTGACTCCAGATTGATCATTCTTTGCACTGTATCACCTACCTGCCTGATATTAATATTTTCATCAAAATTTAATCCTCATATCACACATTATCTAAAAAATAAAATGGTATTTTAAAATATTTTTGCTTTTTGAGGCAAAATATAAAGTAAAAAAAGGTATAAAAAGTTCTTTATTTTTGCTCACATTGTTATTATTATAAGTGCTAAATGTATAACTTGGTTGTTTTGATTTTCTATTAACATCTAAAAAGGCTAAGCAAATGAAGAAAAAAAGAAAAAAAATTACCAAACTAGACTATACAAGTGTCTCTCTGGCCTGTCTTTTAATACTAACTTTTGTTTTTTTTACTGAAATATAAATAGTGTTGTTAACTTCCCAGCTGAAGAATCATTAATAGCACCAAATTCAAAGTGTCTGCTTGTGATTCTATCCTTTTCATAGTATTCTAAACATTTAGAAAACCCTTGTTGACAAAATTCATGATTTCAATGGAAAATAGCCTGTGTTTCTATTATGAGTTTTCTGCAACATGACCAGGGATTGAGGGGGAAAAGGAGAAATATGGTGGTTGACCTGCTTCATACCCTTTCTTTGCTTTCACCTCCATAGTACAGAGGAAGTACATCAGCTGAGTAGGAATGATAATCCACTCGCAGTACCTGCTGCATCAATAAACCTATATCTATACATCTTACTGTATAAATTTGTATTTGGTCTAAGTTTGGCAAATTAATTTAAGTCACTAGGGAAAGCTGAAATTTTTCTTTGTTCCCACAGCCACTAAACTATGAGAAGAAGAGGTCCTATACTCTCAACATAGAAGGAGCAAATACACATCTTGATTTCCGATTTTCTCACTTGGGCCCATTTAAAGATGTCACCATGCTGAAGATCATTGTGGGAGATGTTGATGAACCACCCCTCTTTTCAATGCCTTCCTATGTTATGGATGTTCATGAGAATGAGAAGATTGGAACAGTGGTTGGCACAGTGGCTGCTCAAGATCCAGACAGTGCCAATAGCTTAGTAAGGTACAGTCAAATGAAAAAGGTTTTTTAGTTATTTAAACATAGATTAGACACCTACAAGAAGTTGGTTTCCCTGCACTTTATTTCCACCAAATATGAATGCTGCAATGTCATTTAAGTACATCCAATTTGTGAATAACTTGATTTGTATAGCAAGATATTCTGAAAATGAATTATCATGCCTGTGGTTTTGGGTTTGAAGAAGAAAAATAGGCTTCTGTATGGATATATATGTATACACATATATATATGTGTGTGTGTGTGTGTGTGTGTGTATGTGTGTGTGTGTGCATGTGTGTATTGTACATATATATAAATTGAGGAGAATAATTGCATTATTTGGCCTTTACTAAAATGGCTGATTAGAAAGGGGAGGGAATAGAACATAATGAGGATACAAGTTCATTGTGAAAAATGTAACCAAATCTTCAAGCTGAGAAAAGGAGAAAGGGATGGAAGAAGTACAAGCATAAGACACCTGTCCCTTTCCACTTAGACATGATAGGTGAAGTATAGATGTTTTGAAATCTGAGAAATAGTGGTACTCTCATTGCCAGCATACATTTCTTGTCTCAGACCAATCCTGAGGAACTCCTCTGATGAATCATCATATAAAAAAAAAAGAGAAGATTCTGTGAAATTATAATCCTCTTCCAAAGTGGTCTTGTACTACCTACAAATTTTATTCCTGGCACTATATGGTAATATCAATAAATGAATATAAATATCATTATCCTAGGTATATTACTAAAATCATACTACCTTTGAAAAATGAACTTTGCAGACTGGGACCAAGTCCTTTTTTTAGAAAAGATGTTTTTTTTCCCTGAGATCAATGGTCTTGTTAAATTGTATACATCTGTAAGACATTTTCTCTTCTGAAGAAAATAAACCATTTTTGTTTCTGAAGTTATATGATTATATCAATAATTGATAAATATAGTAGATATTTTTCACTCAATAAGTTTATACATTTTGTTGAATACTTTTTGTGCTCAGCACTTTGGAGACTATGGAATTACAAAAAAGAGTCCTATAAGGAGCTTACAAAAATCCACCTAGAGAAATAAGGAAATCATATATGAAACAATAAGCAATATAAAACAGTATGATGCAATGGGGACAGCTAGGTGGCACAGTAGATAAAGTGCCAGGCCTAGAGTTAGGAAGAGTTAAAATCCAGCCTCAGACACTTATTAGGTATGTGACCCTGGGCAAGTCACTTAACCCTGTTTGCTTCAGTTTCTTCATCTATAAAATGAACTAGAGAAGGGAATGACAAACCGCTCCAGGAGCTTCGCCAAGCAAACCCCAAATAGGGCCACAAAGAATCAAACCTGACTAAAACAACTGAACAACAACAACAATGTAATTAGCATCTAAATTTCATATTGCAGAGTATTAGTGCTGCAAAACTTTAAAAAATATTAAAAGCTAGGATAGTCATGTAAGGCTTCTTGGAAGATATGTGATTTTATCTAAGCCATAAAGGTTGTATAGGGCTTTGATGTCTAGAAAGAAAAAGGGATGCTATTCTAGATGAGGGATCATGAACAGAGAAGCCAAAAAAAAAAAAAGAAAAGAAAAAAGAAAAATAAGTAGGGAATATAAAGAAGCCCAGTTACTGAGTATAAATTGAGTAGTAAAATGAGTAGGACAAGCTAGGGCAAGATTTCTGAGTGTCAGGAAAGCCAACAACTTCAAGTAGTAAAAAACAGGAAGCCACTGAAGAATTTTATGTAGGTCAGGTACATAGTAAAAGGAGTGTTTCAGAAAGATAGATTTGGCAGCAGTATACAGAATGGACAAAAGTTAAGGAGAGATGGGAAACAGAGAAGTCAATGAGGAAGCTATTATAGTTCTCCAAGTATAAGTATTTAGGGTCAAGGGTTAAAGGAAATAGAAAATAATGAAGGGACTTGAGATTCATTTTAAAAGAAAAATCAATAGGCCTTGGGAATTAATTAAATATGAAGTATTTCTGTTAAGAACCATAGAATTTTACAAGTAAACAAATTGAAAAAGCTCAGGTGACCTAGTCAAGTCCCCCTCCCCCAAATACCAGAACCCAGTCCAAAGCCCATGTTCCCTGACTTTAAGACTATTGCTCTTGTTATCACATGTAATGATGAAGGAGAGAAATGAAGCAAAACTATCTAATATCTGAGTCTGCAAAACTCAGACAGTATAACTTTCAAAGAGTTATCACAGTAAAACTTGTTCAAAAAACAAAATGTGATTGACTAAAATGTCATGTCAATCCAAGTTCTTTAAGAGCCCAAATCAAATAAATCAAGATCCTTCATTATGACATTTTAGTTGTAAAAAAATTTGCTTCAAATTATTGAACGAATATAATAATGTGGTCTGCAAAAAATAAGTGGGAGACCAAAAACAATGGTGAAAGGGGACAAAAATACCAAACCACTTCAAATTATACTGTTATTTTTATATCAATATAAAAGTAGAAATTTATGTATTTCTTTAAAAATGTTTTGGGATTCTTTGTATTTTAGAAATACAATCATAATTTCCAGAAAAGTTTTAAGGAGAAAAGAGGCAGTCTGGAGTTAAGAGGTGAATTCCCCACAACATGATAGAGTGAACCAGCTTAAACAAAATGCTTTAATGAAACATTTTTCTGTAGAGACTCAGTTTCAATTATTTCACAGATTTTTGTTGTTATTATTCATCATTGAGTAGACACAGTGATTATCAGAATTCCACAACCAGTTCTATGCAAAACTGAGGCATTCGTAAAAGTTGGCTCCTATACCATGTCAGCGTGAGCACATCTGTCTATAAAGTAAGGGGATTGTACCACATGATCTCTCAAATCCTTTACTGCTCTGTCTACAATCATATTATATTGTAAATTCTTTTCTACCTCAGACTCTTACTGGCACAGTAGTACTCTGAAACAATCCCATAGAATTGCTTCTCCTACAAGGGCTCAAATGTTCAAAATTTGTTCTGGAACTCAGTATTTCTCTTCTACCTCTCCCAGTGCTCCCTACTGTACTTGGCTTTTTGATCTTATGATAACCTTGAATCCTATGATCCTTTCATATTATCTTTTTAAATTTAATTTGTACCCTACCATCTAATCTCAATAGCATCTAAAATACCTCATCTTTTGCCAATATTTCCTTGTTAATTCCCAAACATGAGAAATCCCTTTTATCTGATTTCTATACTGATATGCTGCCCAATACTGTTGGAGAAATCTATGATACCATATTTACTGGTTACACTTAAAAGTCACTTCTGTTCAGTAATTATTTTTATTCACCTTCCCTATAATTGTCATTCAATCATTTTCCAATCATCTTGTTCTGCTAGTCTCATCTTTCCTACCTTATTATCAGTAGAAAATTTCAATTCCTACTTCATTATGTAGATGGCAACCAACCCAAATTTAACTCTCAAAGTTTCCTCTTTTTTCTCTCAGAATTTCTTTGTCTTTACCTACCCTATTTTCCTTTATTCCCATTAATGAAGATGTGTTCCATGATTTTTCTTTTTAAAAAAATATTATTTTTAACATTCTTTTATTTTTAAATTTTGAGTTCCAAATTATCTCCCTCTGTCTCAAACCCTCCAATATCACTGAAAAGGCAAACAATATGATACCAATTATACATGTGAAATCATGCAAAACATATTTCCATATTTGCCATATATAAAAAAGCAAGAAAAACAAAGTGAGAAAATTAACCTCAATTTGCACTCAGACTTTATCAGTTCTCTATCTGTTGGTGGATAGCATTTTCATCATGAATCCTTTGGAATTGTCTTAGATTATTGTATTGATCAGAGTAGCTAAGTCTTTCACAATTGATCATCATTACAACATTCTTGTTACTGTGCACAATGACCTCCCAGTTTTTCTCACTTCATTTTGCACCAGTTCCTGTAAGTCTTGCCATGTTGTTTTTTGTACCTTTCCTTTCTATTTGGCCCATTCTGTTTTTTAAAGAGTTCTTTCATTCAGTACTTTTTGTGCCTCTATTACTAAGCTGTTAATTCAAAATTTTGTTGTATCACTCTCATTTATTTTCCCAATTTTTCCTCTACCACTCACCTCTTTATTTAACTTTTTCAGGAATTTTTATTGGGCTTAGGTCAAATTAACATTTTCCTTTTAGATTTTGTTTGTAGTTGCTTTCATGTTTTTGTCTTCTTTTTAGTTTATGATTTGGTCTTCCCTGACACCACAGTAGCTTTTTATGGTCAAATTATTTTGTTGTTGTTGTTGTTTGCTCATTCTTCCAGACTATTTCTTGACTGAATTTTATGTTAAAGTTGGACTTTGCTCCCCTGGGTAAGGGAGACACTGTGTAAAGCTCCAGGCTTTTTCATGTTGCTGTTTTCAGAGGTAGTTCTGCGGCTTTTTAAGTTTTCATTGTTTCCAAGGTGGTATGATCCTGGGAGAAGTCTGATCTTCATATAGAAAGGACCCTCATCCCCTGCAGCTACAGGCTAGGGCTTCTTTCTTCTTGGTACTTTGACCAGAGTTCCTGTTCCCTTCTGACCAATTTCAGCATGCCTCTCCACCCTGAAACTATAACCCAGAACTGCCACTCAGTTCCAGCTGTACCCAGCACCATTAAATGATCTCCTGTAATCTTTTCTGAGCAATTTTCCAACCCCCTTACTGTCTCTGGACTGAAAACTCCAAAGCGGTTGTTGATCCTGTTGCTATTGTTCCAACAGCATGTTGGGCTCCAGACAGGCCTCTACTCTGGTGCCATAGACTTCTCCTGCTGACCTCTTAAGCTTGCTTAGACTGGAAAAAAGAATCTTGCCCCTACTTCTTGTTGACTTTGCTGCTCCAAAATTTGATTTGGGGATTTGTTTTAAAGTAGTTTAGTGGGCAATGTTGGGAGAGTTCAGCTGGGTAGCTGCCCATAGTCCATCATCTTGTCTCTGCCCTACCCTCTACTTTTTCAAGGCCATCCACCTGTGTATTTGATTCCATTTCTCCTGCTTTCTCTATAACC